TAGTGGCTTGGAATTAAAGCAAGCAAGTCTTTTCATGGTTAAATCCATCTTTCTTATCTTCATCACCCAATCCAATGGTCCATTGAAGACTTCAAAGTTACATTCCCTTTCATAAAAGCTATAAAATTAGCTTTAGAGAAAAGCTCTTACCAAAGAAAAAAAATGCTTAAGACAAAGTTTCAAGTCTAAATCCTCCGTTTATGGGCATTTGAGCTAAATTTGTTGGTACATTTTTTTTTTTGTTATATAGCCTTTGAGTTTGAGTTAATGAAAAATTGTTCTAATGACTTGAATAGTTAAGATGTTGGTAGGTTTTATTTTTAAATCCTCCCATTATTGACGCTTCATAATAATCCTGAATAATCTTTTAATCTTGACAGAACTTAGAATTTACAAATCATGAGTATTTTTTTTTTTTTTTGGTAAAAATGAGTTTAATCAAGATATATAATTGCAAAATGTAATTTTACATTTTAGAATGCAAAACTTTAATTATTCATTACAAAAGATATATCCCCACAATCAAGAGATCTCTTTATTTAATAATTAGGTGGTTGCAATGCATTACAGTTTAGACTACAAAACATGTAATTGGCTAAAAAATCAATGTATAATATTAATTTAATAAAAACTTTCAACCTTAAAGCCTTTGTAAAAGGCCTTTGAGAGAATGAAGTTTTATTTCAATTGTAAATGATTAAGATTGAGATCTTAAAAGGTTTTCAAGTCACCTTCACCAAGCCCAACATCAACATCCAGAATAATCATAAATTAGTATCAACCATCAAAACAGAAGTTGGCATGTGTAATTGATGATGCAGCTCTTGTTAATACTAAATTATATATGCATGCACTTAGCGGTGGATTTTACAACTAAGATAAAACATGTTTTAAGGCACACATTAAACCACTCCGAAATATTGTCCCAAAAATGCACATTGTGCATCTGCTCATTTTGTTAGAAGCTAGAACAAACTTCCCAAAAGCAGCGAATGATTCTCAGTTGCTTTGTGGGTTGATAGATGACTGCTCTTTTGACTATTGGGCCATCATATATGGATATATTCTTGATGACACATAGATTCAATTACAATTAGAATACAGTTTATTAATCATGTAACTTTGATTAAAAAAAAAA